ACTACCACATTGTGTTGAATCTTTAGCGAACGATAAATCAATTCCACTACCAGACATAATCACAACATGAAGTGGTGAACGAGTTACTTTTTCAAGTTGTTGTATTAAAGCAAGTTGAATGTCTGGTAAAGTGATTGATTTACGATCAATTCCTTCTCGTTCAATGGTATTATCAATTCCACCAAAGAAAAAGACAATATCAGATGATCGAGCTAACTCAATTGCAGCAGCAAAATCTTTCTCATTATAACTCGATATTCTACAACCACGAGCATATTCAACATTGATTAATTTTCCTAGTAATCATGTGAAGAGAAAAAAGAAAAAAAATCAATATTTCTAGTCTGCTTTAATCAATTAAATTGATTTTTATCTTGATGATGGAAGACTCAGTCAAAGACTTTATTTATAAGTAAGCTGTCAAAAAAATACCATATAGAACTAGTAAAATTGAGCTCAGTCGAGAAGTACACTATTTTCTCAAAAGTATCTCAACATGTAGTCAAAGACATTCTTAGAGCTCAAAAATTGCGGATATTTGACATAATGATAGACTGAACAGATAGGGAGCTTCTTTCTTTCTTACTTCATCGAACTCATAGTGAGAAGAACTATCACAAAGCATAACTCCGCTCTTAACTCCAGCCATCGAAACCAGGTCGATCTTGTTAGCCTACACTTGTAAAGTAGTACATACGCTAAAATTTTCAGATGTGTAGTCTTAAGAGTGATAGAGATCACAAGAGAGGAAGGATACTTTCCACCAGTAGTTTATTTTTTTTATTGAAGTCAATAGTTCTAGTTCAAAACAATATCTATTTGATAGTTTTCTCATGAAAAACAAACATTTTGACGAGTTTTCTATCACTGAGAAAAACAAAACCAGCCCGATCGATTAAAACAGACTGGAGATCTTGAATGTTTGTTTTTTTATCGTCTAGTTATTTTTATGGACCACTCTATATATATCTTGTCAAACCTGTTGTTAAGTTTTTAAATCCTGTTACAGGATCAATAAGAAACGGGGCTCGTCCATGATAAATTCCTTGCATTGTTACTGTTGCATCCGCCGTTGGCCCAATTAATGCTATTTTCTTATTCATCAATTGATCCATATTTAACGGTAATGTATTATTCATATTCTTTAATAAAACAATACTTTCTTGAGCACTTATTAGTGATAACTGTCTTGCTTCTAATGTATCAACATTATTTTTATTCAAATGTCGATAAATTTGTTGTTCTGGTGGATCGAACCAACCAAGTCGAATAAGAACATCAAATGTACGCATTAATGCTTGATTAATATCAGCTTCAACTATTCTTTTACTATTCAATGCTTCATGTAAATGGAATAAATAGAAAACACCACATTCAAGATCTGTACCAGCATGTAAAGCAACAGCAACTGTATCTTCGACTGTTAATGTATAATGATGTGTATATAAAATATTTCCAATAGCTCCGCAATCACTTACAACAAATCCATTTAAATGAAAAGATTCTCTAAAAATTTTCGACAAAAATATTTTTTTATTTATTTATCACAATCTAAAAATATTCTATTACCTTGCAATTGTTTCTAATAGAAATTGATGAGCACAAGCTGGTATTCCATTAATTGAATTATAACTACACATAATACTAGCTACTTGTGCATCTTGAATACAAGTTTTAAATGATGGTAAATATGTTTCAACTAAATCTTGATCAGTTACTTTAGCATTAAAATGATGTCGATTTGTTCCATTCCAATTTTCTAAATCATAAGCATCAAAATGTTTACAATTAGCAGCTATTTTTAAATATCGTTCATCATCACCACGTTGTAAACCTTGAATAAGTGCATATACATATTGAGATGTTAGAAATGGATCTTCGCCAGGTGTTTCTTGTCCACGTCCCCAACGTGGATCTCGAAAGATATTAATATTTGGTGTGAAGAAAGTAAGACCAGCTCGACCTTCATTATTAAAAGCACGTGCTTCCGTTGAAATAATACTTGCTACATGATGTACAAGACGCATGTTAAATGTTGCACCAAGATTAATTGGCATAGGAAATGAAGTAGCAGCAGGTAAATCACCACCGAAAAACACACCTGGAGAATAAGCAAGACCATGAAGAGCTTCTGACCACCATTCATATTTTGGTAGACCAAGACGAGATATGGCATCAGCTGTCGTAATCATTTGAGAAATTTTTTCAACTAGAGTCATACGACTTATTAAATCGATAGCTCGTTGTCGCGATGGTAATGACTGATTACAGATCGGAAACGGTGATAATGGACCTGATTTACAATCAGGAAAATAACCAGACTGACCATTAGTCCGAACTATTAGAGTAATAAACAGTACAAAATATAAAGGCATACTGTAGATTCACTTGATGAAACTGTCGATATAACATGAGACAGAATGAGTCTAATAGCACACCTTGAGATAAGACAAAGATATCGAATAAATCTTTGTAATAAAAAAACAACGAACCATTTAGTAACATATCATACAGATAAAAAAAGCACATTAATACATTTTCGACATGAGAAATTATTTTTTTGGGATTCTCTGTTGATTCTCTTCAAAACAATATTTTCGTTAGAGTCTTTGAATAAAAAATTTCAATATTCATAACATAATTGGTACATTGCCAAAAGTAATGATGCACCTACTTTCTAAAGAAAATGCAATACTTGCTGCTGTAAAAATATTTGAAGGAATAATTACTTTCGTTTCATCTGTGTTTATTTCATCATGGCACGAGTTGCAAGATTTCAGTTCTAGGTAGTTCTATCAATATGTGCTGATTTTAGCGAGCGAAAAACTATTAAAAGAAATTTACATTGATTTGGTCGACTAATAAGGCAAAAAATTTATTTTATTCAATAAAAAAGAAACATGTAGATTGCTCTTTAATTTCAAGAAACTCTGTATCAACACGTACTGTACAGCTTCTAATTTGACCAATCCGATACATTTTGAAGTAGCTCGTTTTATCAACAAAATCATATGAAATTAATAGACCATTAACTTTGTTCTAGATAAAAGAACATATACCATTTGTGTATTGATGATTGTTAGAATGTCGAAGAATTAAAAGATGAAAGTGCAAAAAATGTATATGTTCATATCTAAAAACCAATTGAAAAATACAGAACGGTATAAAATAGCACCACTTTTGAGCTTCGTGTTCATTTGTATTTTCTGTCTTTTCGTTATTTTTATAATGCATTCACACAATAACCTATTGTAGAAAACTATTTTAACTAAAGAATAAAGTTTACATCGAATTAATGTTCTAATTCGTTCCGAGTTTATGATGAAGAGAAACTTGAGTAAAGGTAATTAAATGTAACGATAGGTAGTGTTTTCTATTGTTTTTCATTTTCAATTAATAGTATAAATATGAATGAGCATTTCATGCACAATAGTTATATTCCATTAGAACTAAATGAGTTTAGAGAATCATTACATAATGAAGACGTTCTCACTTATAAAGATCATCAATATATAAAAAATAAGACATAGATAAGACTATAAATGAATGGCGGTGCAGAGGTCGTCTAGTTCAAACAAACTCATTTTAAGCGCGCATGATTTTCTTATTATTCATAAACTTAATATTCATATATAGCTATGATGAAATTTAACATATTCATATAATCTCTTGCTTTTTAACAACTTTTTAATCTTTCGGATCGAATTTGACAAATCTTTATATACATGAGTTTCAAAAATCATTCAACTAGGTTTATTTTCAATTTTTTTCTGTTATCATCAATACAAAGAAAATTCAAATAGTGATTTGTGTAAGGAATTTTATTTTCAACAAGAATTTTTGAAGATGAAACCGATTACTAGTTTTCCAGAAGAAAAGATCTTTGAAACCCCAAAACTAACTTTTTCAGCATATAGAATTTCCATATTACAACCCGATTTCAACTATTTACAATGATAGAGCAAGCAATTTTCTACAAAATAAAATGCTTTCTAGGTCTGTATAAAATTAGTTGAATAATTTTGCGCGCTACACTATGAATTTTACCGTCGCCCATACTCAGATCAATCATTAGGGATCATCATCAATGACCACCGACATATCGTATTTCACTGTAAATGGTCGTATACGGACCGTATTCTTCTACAAGAGTAGCTAATTCATTGTATTAGGTTTCCTCTTTTTCTTTTTATTACTTTTATATGTAAAAGTGTGAGTAGCTATGTAGCAAGAGAAGAACAATTCTCTTATGTGAAAAGATCAATAAAAAAAAGTGAACTTGTTACAATATAACGTAGGATGTGTACCAACAGCAATTTTATATGTAACAGTAGAACATATGCACAAATGAACTTGAAAAAGTACAGTTAAAAGGCTTAAACCATCGATGAAATACTCAATTTTCTTCTCACTCTGATATAATTCAATTAATCGAACGTTTATACGAAGAATATATTCATTGACAGCACAAGTCAGAAGAGTCACAAGTCAAAGTATGTAAATGAAAAACAATATTTACAAAGAAATTCATACTATATTATCTCGTCTTTTCAATTAACATGACAAATTGAGACATAGTGTCCAGCGGAAGAACTAGTACTAGAGGTCATCAGATTGATTAGGTTTCGAAAATTTTGCACCGATAGACTCTAACTATCACATAATTAATAAAGGATGACTCATCATGATACCAAATAGAGTGATCAATTTAATGTTAATACAATGATGGTGATTACTAGAACAAAATGAATCAAGAAAAAACGTCCATACCTATATAATATGATTCATATTCTGTCTACACATCGTTTTGTACGACAGTGAGTCATCGATCATGTAGCTATTCAACAAGATCTGACTTTTATCTAATTAAAAACAAAATAGTACATTGGGATAGAATGAAGGTGGAAAGTCAGCGAGGGTGGTGCAATATTCCCCTATAAAATACGATCGTCAGCTCACTAAAATTACATTCATTTCTGAAATATCGAATAGTCATTAAGATGCAATCAATTACAATTCTTTCTTGTGTAAGTGTATTAAATATCAACAGTCTTCAATATTATTCTTTATTTTTAGTTGATTATTGCTGTAACTATCCTATCGGTTCGTATGCATCCACATGGAGGCGATCCTGATCGAAGACCACCACCATTCGGCAATGGTACATTTCATTTTAATGGAACTTTTCCACCACGCATGAATGACACTGATGATGAACATCATGGTTTTCGACCACATCATGGCAATAGAACGGAAGGAAATGTGACATTTGTACCAGATGGCTTCTCTTCTCATCCACCACATGAACATGAAGGTAATGGTGATCACCGACCAGGTATATTTTTGATTAACAATTTCAACATTAAATCTATTAATACTGTGTTTCTTTTTAATAGGAAGACCTGGTGGTCATCAATGATTATAGAATTTTTTGAATTAAGAGGCATCTTTATTTTTGAACAAGTTTTACTAAATTGCTCTTTTTTTGTTTGTTTCCATAATTTTAAAAATAAAGCGGCATTTTTCTTCAAGTCCATCATTATAAAATGTGAATTCTCTTTATATAAATAAAATAATTGATGTTAAATCTATATCTGTAGTAGTTTGAAAATAGTCTATTAAAATAATGCCTTTTCGTTCGGTCAGTTTGACATATAAATACAATACTTATCAAAAATAGTCAGAGCAATTCATATTATATAGAATTCTATGATTTTTTTATTTAATAAATAGTGTAAATAAATGAAATTGTATTACAATGAAATTTTTTTTTTAAATTCTCTGTTTCGTTAATGTTCAGCATTAAAGTCAAGTAAATCAAAAATTTTACGTAGATCTCGACGGTGAGATTGAAATGAGAAATATTTGTCTTTAGCAGACCGATTGCATCGATGAATTGAGCAATATTTCACATGAGAAACATCACTTATTGAACTTTCCAATGTTACACATACGCTTTGAGGAGCCATTGTATATATTCATTTCGTAGCTTCTGTTGCTTGTTCTTGTGAACTACAAGTTTGAACACCTTATGTACATTTAAAACGGTATTTCACATATGTGCAATCATCATCTTCACTTCAATCTGTCGTACCAAGTACTAATATACATTGATTATTCATGCCTGAATAAAATTGAAGCGATAGCGTAGTGCAAAAAATGAGCGAAGGACAACAGCAAAGAGTAATCGACCCGTCGCCGTACACTTGGAGAAAGAAAAAGGCAAAAGCGACTATCACTCCTCAAAAAAGAAAGAAATATACTGGTTCTTTTCAATATTTTATATTACTACACATTCAGGTATGAAAAAAAAGATAGTTGTTGTTTCATTGCGGAGCACTGTATGGTATGTGTACACCATGAATAACTTGCTTTGCACTCTGTTGAATCAAAAAAAAATATTTGTTTTTTTTTTGTACTGATATCGAATTAACAATGATTATAAGTCTTCGAAACGAAACGAAATGAGAACATAACTACATATGCAAAATGAAAAATTTAATAATTCACTGGAGAAAAATAAATAACGAGTAATCATAGATAATTTGATAAATTTTCTTCTTTTCTATTCATTTGATATATCATTAAAATAAATATCTTTTTAGTTGGTCAGATAACGACATTTCTGAGGCCTTGTTTCTCACATAACTCACTGTAGCTCTATTATCATAAGAAGAGCGTCTCTATTCATTTGAAACGAGTGAGAAATTTACCTTTACAAGTAAGAAAAAAACCAGCCGACGATGATAGACACATCGATCATGGGGAAATTAAATGCAGAACATGAAATTCAGATCGGAAGACATACGAATATGACGAAGAAAATGAAAAAGTAGAAAAGAATAGCATATAAGTGCATCTTCTAACAGAGTTATATAAGCAAATACTAGAAGTATTACCTAAAAAATATTTTTAATCTCTTCTATATTTATACTATTCTACAGATCACATGTCAATATGAGATTTTGTCAATGTTAGAGTCAATCTGTGTCTTTTGTTATACAAAAATAAGCATAAGTATTTTTATTGTTTATGTTTTAAAAGTCGCATTTATTTATGTCAAATGTTTGGAGCCTTTTATTCTAGAATTGTACAAAATATCAGTAGATTTTAAACCTAAATATACATATTTTTGTATATAACGTCGACTTTGAAATTGCACGGGTTAATTTTTTTTCTTGAAATAATTATTTGTTAAACACAATAGCAATATACTTTAATTCATATTCAATTGCCACTAATACGATAATATAAATAATAGAATGCCGAACTCTGATTTCCAAAACAGATAACTAATTTTAGGTCGTTTTTAACTCTTACACATGTCAACCAAACAATTGTTTATAGAGTGGATACCAAAATCGTTCAACAGGATTTATTTTCGATTTTTTTCCTGTTCACAGACTATTTTCTACTACGTATTACTTTATTGAAATGCCAAAATCGAAAGCAGTGCTCGTTCGAAAAAATGCTGCGAAATCAATAATATTATCTCTTTTTCCAGAAAATGTTATTCTTTCCATTGAGTCAGTCATTATTCAAAGTTGAAGCATTAAACAACGTGCTATGCGTGACTTCTACTGTTGGTAATAATTTAATTCTGACACAATTTTTCTGCAGATCATATTCTGACGTTAACTAAAGTGGTTTATACACAACAGAAAATAACCTAGGGATGAGATATATGATCAGTTTAAGCAATTACTATGACTAATTATATTAATCTTAGTTGAAATCTACATAGTTTTCCTATTGTAAAACTTTGCATCATTTATACTTCTTAAAAGAGATATCAAATTAAAAAAAAAACCTAAAAACATCGGGCCTGATGGCCCGACATTAGATCTTACTTGGGCCTGGCCGGATCGGCCCACTGGGCCGTGTAGTCCGTTTCGAGGTCTAGTCCGTAATACATATTTCTTCACTAGCAAACACAAGATCAATGTTCTACATAAGCTGGAATGAATTCAAAGTTAATTGATACAGGGCGAATCCGGTCCATGTACTGCGATAACTCAATTGAATTAAAAAAATCTTTCCAAATAGATTCTCATTTTCTATGATGAGTCCCAGTATTCATAATTGCTAAATTTTATTTTATTGCACATCATCAAGCATGGTTGAGCAATGTTACTCTACAAACATATAGGTAAAAAATGAAGAGAACACTCTTTTTTTCTATACAAACATCATTGACAAAGAATAAAAAAGAAATAAAAAAAACAATCAGAAATAAACATCATTACTTGAATACAAATATTAGATTACTTCCATTCAAACGCACTGAAAGATAATAATATTTTCGTTTGAACGAAATCATATTGATGTGTTGTTATTTTTTAACACGAATTAAACAATTTTATGTTATTTGATAACTGCTGCTTCATTTGTCTTCTATTTTCAAAAAAAAGAGACTGAGTTCATGATAAAAACAATCTGTCGCAGTTCGTGCTATATAATAAATCGTAGTCAGTTCTTCCAAAAACAAATCTCTACAGAGTGGTTTGATAACTTTGTTAGAGAAATCATGCAAAGATTTCACATCAATTCGAAGGTTTTCAGTTGATTTCATTCGAGAAAGTGAACTAGGGTATATTTATAGACGAAGTTGGATAGCTTTGTTTTTGCTTTAACACGTGAAAAATTTAATTTTTCTTTTTAATACATGAAGAAAATATCAATTTTATTTAACGATCGTTAATCAAGGACAAATAAGATATTTCCTTTTATCATGAAGATGTAATAAAAAAGCAAAAACAAACATTTATTCTGACTGATATGTTCTTGTATGGGCGTGGGCCGTTACTGTAGTCACATCCAAGCCCTCTCGCACACTCATAAAGTGAAAATCCTATTTAGAAAAATTAAAAAAGAAATAGATGGAGGTATATAAATTCTTGCTTAGCTTTTCTAAATACGATTTGATCAAGTCTAATGAATAAGGTTAACTACTTCATCACAAGTCTGTGTTTATATTAGTTAAAATTTTGTTGTTATCCAGAAAATATTTCAAAAACTTGTTTCATGTTTTCTTTTTGCAGAACGTGAATCTGATGTTACGTCTATAGAGGCTTTCTATTACAATAGACGATATTGCCAAATAATCTTTTTTTTGAAACCTCAAGTTTAGAACAAGCGTCTTTTGGTCCTTTGTTTTTAAAAGACCATCGCAACAGAAAGACAATGTTTCTTTCTATGAAACTTCAGGTATTTTCATAGAATTTTCCAGTTTTATTGAGAAATTTTCGACTACATGTCTATCTAGAAGCCAATGAAAGAAGAAAAATAAAAGATGAAGGATCAAGAAAGTCGCTGAACTCAAGTATTTTTTAAAGCAACAACAAGTGCGGATGTATCTTCTTCTTTACTGGCATACATGTCTACACGTGTTTTTTCAGTGGAGACAGTCATTGATGATCTGCAAAGTGAATAGTACCGGTAAAAAGTGTTATGCCTTCTTCAAATTGATCGGCATACAATCTATGTGGTTTGAATCGATACATCGTCGACAATGCATATTGTGGCAATGTAGGTGTTTTTGAGGGTCTTCTCTTTAGTAGCACCACACACCTATATCTTCAAAGTGTTGCAATTGTGTCGCAAAACGCAGTGCATGCGACACATTTTACTTTTGTCTGAAAAGCAAAAACGATGAATGAATCTAAAAATATGATGAATAATTTTCATCTGAATAAATTCGGTAACAAAGTATTTAAAAAAATACACATAACTAGAAGCAAAGTTTTGATAAAAACGAGTGTATTCGATAGTCTTTTAATTTATCTATCTGATTGTGAAATTTTAAAAACACTACCGTACAACAAGAGCGACCAAGATACACTATAAACCATTTTTGTTAGGGAACTTAATCAAAGTTCAAATGGTTTGCGAATATGTGAGCAATCTGCATGATAATTTAAACCTTTTAGGTACTACATATACCAAAAGAGCACGTCATCGTCAATCCATTTCAGTCAAGCTTGACTTAATTAAATTTATTTATCAACACACATATTCACGGTATGTTTGTGATTAGCCAATCAACTTTTTGTTATTAAAGGCCTATGGAAAAATAAAACGGTACCAACCCATTTTACAACTGAATACCTTGCAGCTTACAACAGCTGTTTCATATACTATTGCTACTGCTCTTTTCATTGTCAAATTCAGTTTTCTCATCTTTCGAACTCGAAGCTTCCTCATTCATGAGTGATTGATGGCTGGTCAAGAAGCGCTGTAATTTGTTTTCGATTCTTGAATGTTTCTAAACACGTATAAGATCATAGTCTGCCTGTAAAAAAATTTACCAATTGAAAGTACAGTGTTATCTAAGGAAGATGTTATGTTCGCTTGAATTTATTTAACTTTACATGTTTTCGAATAAATTGAATCGACCTTCACAGTTTATTATTTCGTGAAAAAAAGTTTTTAAAAATGTTCTTTTTTCATTAGGCTTTATGTTACGATTTCTATTTGAGAAATACTGATATTACTGTTTCGACGTTCGGTAGGGTTCAATACTTTGACAGGTACCTTTTTGTTGGTATTGGCATTCATATTCTCAAGTCTTTTAAGCGATTCATTCCAATTATTTTCAAATGATTTCACTTTTTCATGTCCTTCGGGTAATAATCTACGCGCGATCTTGTATGCTTCCGAATAGAATTTTTCAGCTTGAATAAACTCCTTTAGTTTTATATAGGTATTACCAAGATTGTTACATGTTACAGCCAATTCATCAGATTTCACCAATGATATCCGTCGCTGTCGTTCGAATGCTTGCTGAAAATAGCGGAGTGCCATTCGATATTGACGTCGATGATAACAAATAGTACCCATATTTGAGAGTATACGGCCGATATTTAGCTCATTTATCGGTCTTCGTCGCTGTTCAATGCCTAATGCACGTCGAAAGTCATCGAATGCTTTTGCATATTCGTTTAACTTCATTCGAGTACCACCTTGATTATCGTAAAAGACACTGTGACAGAGTGGAAAAGGTGCTGTTTGAGCTTGAGCGAATGCTGATGAATGATGTTCGTTTGATTTAGCGTATGCTTTCTTATGGTAATATATAGCTCCTAGATCATTATGAATAGTTGCTAAAAGTTCATTATCATCAATATTCTCTAAATCTTTCAACCATTTTTCATAATGATTTGCTGCTGTGTCATATTCACCAACATTATATAAAAAGCGACCCCATGTTAACTTGAATGGGCCTTTACTAATTGCGAGTCTTTCTAGAAGTTGTTGTTTTATTGCTTTCAAATCATTGAGATCATCATCGGTAGTGTCAATTAATTGCACATACCAGTAATTCTTTCGATCTCTTTCAATCTTTTTAACTGAGACAATTTTGAAAGTAGTTCCAACTAGAAACAAATATTCTTGTTCGTCAGGATGTTCAGCCACTTCTGAGATATTGCTAAATAAATTGCATGCAGTCTTCATTTCAAAAACTACTGACGTCTGACCATTGGTTTCTTCATTTCCTTCGCAAGAGCCAAACATGTGAGCTACTTCTTTATCACTTGATGTCGACAAAAACGAATTGAACGATATAAGTCCATTAATATTGCGGCGTAGTTTTTCTATTTCTTCATTTCCAATCTTTTGACCACGATATAGTGTAATTATTTTTGTATCTTCATTTCTCATAGTTTTGAGTTGTTCGTGTATATGGATGATGGCCATGCGAAAATGATAGATACTCGACACGTTTTGACAACGTAATGCTTGATTGATGAGTTTGTAGTACCAAGTAATCTTCGAATAATATTTTAAAGCCTTTTTTGCTTCATAGTTTTTCTCCAGTTGGTCAATTTCAGATAGTTGATGAAAATTGTTTATACAGAGTCGACGACATTCCGCAAAAAATTCAGATTTTGCCTCTGGCGTCAATAAAAAAGAGAAAATGAGCTCCATCATTATTTGATACCAAACAAAAGTGGTGCTCTCTTCATTAAGATTACGAGTTGAAATTTCTTTATTATTTGGACTGAAAACATTAAAGATTTCGTTCGAGGATTTTGCAAAATGGCGATAAAAATGGACTTTCATCAGTAAATGAGCATTGGATTTTCGGGCAGATATCTTTTAGTTCTCTATCGATAAACAATGGTCGTTGATCTTGACCACCAAGTTTACGATAAATAACGGATACTGATAGTGAACCTTGCAACTTTTTCAAAGTTAGCTGATCGTCTGCATATTCATCAGCAACAACTACTAATACTTGTTCATTGTCAATTGATGACAAATAATTAAGGCAGTCAAAGGAATTATCAAATGTGTGAGTATCTTCATTATTGAGGTCTGAATCATAACTATAGCTGAAGTTTGAGACGAGAAAAACAGTGATCCAACGCTGTTGCTCTTCTATTTCTTGCTCTCTTTTATTCCAGTCATCGTCATTGTTACTATTGCTGGAATTATAATCATTCATACTGTAACTATCATCAGTACCATCATTATGATCACTCGCACTGTGATTGTCATTATCAATGCTATCATTATGATTAATTGTACTGTCGCTAATGGTGTTTGTAAAGCGAAAGTGGTCACTTGGATTGCCCGCATTACTGCATTGATGACTATTCCCGTTGTTGGTCGCGCTAGAAAAGTTACTACTCCCAGTGCTAGTATTATCAAAGAAGTTTCGGTTGTTGCTAGCACTAGAACTACTAGCACTGTTACCATGACGCTTATTGCCACCACACTTGTTGCTGAATCCATTAGGTACTTGCTCTAAAATATATAATTGATAATATGTATCAATATAACGATTGATCCAGAACAAATGAGCCACTTTTGTACCTTATTTTTCTTCGTGTTAGCAACTACGAAAAGTATTTAAAATAGGTTTATTTGATGATGAATTTAGTTTTCTGCAATCGTATTGTTTGAATTAAGAACAGCATGCATTCTA